CTAATCACCACTATATGTGGGGCATGTAGGGCACGTGGTAGTCATATTCTTGCCACCTGAGGGCATCATAGAATGAACGGCAATGCTTGTAATGCCCCCAGCTATAGTAAGAAGGTACAATGCACAATGTATCAACATTGCACACGTGTCTCTTTCGATGAAGCGTTGTAGTGGCCACGGTTTTCCAGACTTCTTCCAAAAACATACAGCGAGCCGGCAAGCCTGAGATGCGGAACGAAAGAGAAACAATAGGTCGATCCTCAAATACTGTACACTAGTGATGAGTTAAACTGATCTTCTGTGATCACTCTCAATCACGGTGATCGAGATGCGAGCATGCATTTAGCATTCTGTCAAGCTCATCGCTGCATTGGTCCGCTCCAAAACTCTCGTTTGTAATGCGGTTTTACTTCACGATTAACGTTGTGTTTTAATCATCCTTCGAATCGTGTTTGACGGCTGAAGGTCTCGTCGAATTGAGATAGCTCTAAACCTCTCTGTTCCGATACCCTCTGGCATATTCCATGGTGCAGCTCCAATTTGCTAGTTTTTGAGTACGAAGATTTCATCGGCCATCTTCGTTGTATAGTTGAAAGCCAAAAACATCTGCTGATAAGGCAGGTGGCCGGAGAGTAGGATCAGATTGTACAGAGCGCACAAAACTCTCCGGCTAACTTTGTTGCCCAAAGCATCAGGTTTAATACCATCTGGGCCCGCAGCTGTGGACCTCTTCATCTTTCCCAACCTCTTATATACCTCCTCCTGCTTAAGCTCCCCCAGAAATAGGTCCAAGGATATTGGATCAGGGGTTTCCACATAGTCAGGAAGCCGGAGGCTGGGCGTGGTGCTCCAGAGGATGTTATAAAGATGTTCGACTTCCTCTCGTGGTAATTGTGCACCATTTTGGGCGGAAAGATCTGTGCCCATTCTAACCTGCTTTGCTAGCAGTGCAGGGTTCTTCTTGAAGAGGTTTTGAGTAATTGCGTATTTAAAGCGCTTGAGCGCTCTTTTCCTTTTCTTGCCCTTGGTTTTACTGTGCTTCGGGCAACTCTGGGATGTAGTGGATGAGGATGTATGTTTGGGACGGAGGAAATCCAAGACGGCGGAGTAAGTTTCATTGATGACCTCTTGGGATAGGTTGCCAGCTACAACGGATTTCTTGATATTGCCGACTAATTCCGCAGCATCCTTAGAGAACCTATCTCCCCCCAGCTCAAGGAGTGATTCCCGAAGACTCTCCCTCCAAATATTGTCGGTATCCTCATATTCATTTATGTGATCTGCAGATGGGATGCAGTCACAGAGTTGGTCGGTCCCCAGTTCTAACTCTGAACTCCCACCCCGGGCAATGTCATCCTGACTGCCCATTATTGGGATAATTGTTGTTGGGTGACCTGCGGGTGGGTTCCAGTCTCCCGGTTGAGTTATCTCAGATTGATCTGTCCCCAGTTCTAACTCTGAACCCCCACCCCGGGCAATGTCGTCCTGACTACCCATTATTGGAATAATTGTTGTTGGGTGACCTGCGGGTGGGTTCCAGTCACCCGGTTGAGTTATCTCAGATTCCCACTTGGAATTCCCATCCTGGGTAGTGTTCCTATTGTTTTCAGGAAGAGCTGCACTTGTTTGGACGTCTCTGGGTTGAGTGCACTCTCCCTGCATGTCTGATGCAGGTTCTAATTCTAAGGCGTTTGCCTGCTCATACACATCTTTGGGGGTTTCAACGGTTGTTATACCCCCTTGCTCGCCTGAAGGGCTTGCCATACTAGGCCCTGGATCTGTCGGAGCTGTCTTTTTCAATAGTGCGTTCCTTTTAGCAATATAAATGGGTTCACGGCGTTTGTCCCGTATCTGTTTAGCCGTTTTTGACTTGAGCTGAGCTGCCATCTTCATAGCGATCCGTGCATCGCCTCTTAGTATAACCTCCAGCTGAAGCATGGCCTCGATATCTTCCCGGGAGAAAACTCTCCCAGCCGACGAAGGTGGAGTTCTCGGCATCGGGACTGAGGCCAGCCTTTCAGCATTTCTTGCCAGAGGATGAAGGTGGCGCTTGTGCTGGCTGAGACCAAACGAGTCCTCGCATAGATGACATTTGTAGGGCAAAACAGTCTTTAAAGCAGTGCACTTGACTAGGTGGCACAGAGCTGAGTGCTTCCTTTGATACAGTTTGTCGCACTTCGCACACTGGAAGTTTAATTGAAGAGCAGAGTGTTTGTCTTTGTGATGAAATATGATATCACTTAGGCTAAGTGCGACATAGCTCCCCCTGCCACTACGGAGACATGTAGGGCAGGAATAAGATTGAAACGGGAGCTTGATTATAAATAGCTCATTATCCATGTCCACGCCGTCGTCATTAGTAGCCCCCTGCCGTGGCCGAAGCCTACGACGAAGAGCGGGGTCATACTCTCCGAAGTCCGAGGCTCTGTTTTCAGCATTGAAAGCCTGTTGGTAACCCTCCCAGGTGGAGAGTCATAGTTATTCCCGCGCTTGCTTGAATTTCTTCACTTTGACATTCTGGCTCTCATCAGATTAAACGAGGACTCCCCGATCTTTTGTCAGTATCAAACAAGAAAAAGCACTGGAATGCTTCTATGTGGGGAATGTGTGGCACGTGGTAGTCGTTATATTCTTGCCACCTGAGGGCATCATAGAATGAACGGCAATGCTGGTAATGCCCCCAACTATAGTAAGAAGATAAAATGCGCAATGTATCAACATTTCCTTCACTTAATACCGATCCTAGGTACTTGAAAGTATTTTCTCTTTCATAACAAATTTTCCCGCTTGTTAAATCCTGCACTCTCTGCCAT